AAGGTGCCTTGAGCTCCTTGCAAGAGCTAAAAAGGTGGGATATACATGCAATGTAATAATAGTTTGTCAGCCATCCAGATGCAAGATCTCTAAAAATGTAAAACCATGCACGCGCTGCGAATTACTAGGGTACAATCTTATCTTCTCTGCATTCCTTACTAAAAGTACTGTTCTATCAGCTTCTGCATCACATCTGCAATATGGTATACTTAATTAGAATAACTTCACGTGCAGGATTGTGTCAACAATTACTGAGATAATGTATGTGAAGTCCTTGGAGTGCTTAAAAAGGGCCACTATGTAAATGGAACATAGAGGGCAGATCTCTTAGTAGTAGTTTCCACCTTCATTTCAACATTTACCTTTTGAGGCTTGTTATTCTGCAGCATCAGAGGATTACATCAGGAATAAATGTTGCTCTCATCACTCCCCTAGGAATATTCTGTCTGTTTAGTCACTTGTCATTAAATAAGATTCTGTGTTAAATGAGCCATTCTTATAAATTTTGACATCTTTATATAGGATTACCAAACTATAAATAAGCAGCTTATTGTGTAAATCCTATCCAATTCACACAATAGGAATTTGGTGGTGAATGGGTGTTGCTTTGGTTTTCCATGTTTCTTTTTTGCGGTAGTGTCTAAAAGATGTAATTACTGCAAGCTAAGCAAGTAGCCAAAACCAGCTTCAGCGAGGTTCTCTTTGTGGCATGGTTTCATTTTTGGGAGGCAAAAGGGAGAAACATGCAAACTATTAGTTTACTGAAACACCACACCTTTTGTTGATATATATAAGAATTGTCACTATAATAGGCAGTGAATTTAACTCTTGTACAACTAAAACTGAAAAATCAAGATGGCTCAATTTTTTTTAAAGGTAGCAGGTACCGTTCTAGGATAAGATTTGGGCAGAGCTTTAGCATTTGATAGATCCTGGCATAAAATAAGCTTTTGTTGTAACTAGGATGAGAATAAGCCCAGTATATCAGGCGTTATTGTTGTAGCAAACACTGAAACATTTAATTTAGCCAGTGAAGACATGCTCTGGGGAAGGTGGAAAAAACCTTCCCCTCTTTAGTAATTGAGCCATCAATAACACTCACAGCCACTGGTAACAGATCAGAAGTGAGATTTAGAGTCACTTGGTCCTTTCTTCTCCCTGGCCTTTGATCGTGGATAACATAGCTTTAAGAGTTGCATCTGCACTGGTCTTAGTCATGCTTAAAGCTAACTAATGTTCTCAGCTCAAGAGCCTAAACCAGATTTGCAAACAAGGATGAAACAGGGGTGGACAATCTGTAGCCTGCCACTTCTGTCAGTCCTGCCAGCATAGTCACTGGTGCAGGGTTGCAGGCCAAAACTGCTGGAAGACCACAAGTTGCCCCCTCTGGATAAGAGCAAACACAAAGTACTGTTTTTTCACCATGTTAAAATCTCATTAATTCTCTGCCAGCTTAATCCCGATTTCTGACAGAAAATAGAGCTGGGATAGGCCTTGCAATGTTTCCAACAGATGTTCAGGTTTAAATGTTGGTGCATTTTCAGGAGTAAATATGATATTGGAAATACAAAAATAGGCAGGTGTCTCTTGACTAGGAACACATAGAAAGCCTTTAGTGACTATTACCCTATCTTGGTGAAAGGATGTTATTGTTAGAAAAGGATGACCTGATCTGGTGATATATAGCGGTTAAAGTTAAGTAATCTTTTCTCAGCATGCTTTGGACGTGCCACTATCTTCCTAGCCTAAGGCCTTATTTTAGCAATACTAGGCTGACTTAAGGGCTGTTGTAAGGATTGCTGAGATAATGTTTGAATGCAAATGCTTTGAATGCTTAAAGTGTACCATATCATGTGAAGTATTATTGTTAGTATTATAATCCTAAGTATTATATCTCTTTATAACTAGACATCATAAAAAAGTCCTGGCTAAGAGGTGATCTCTTAATATTGAGGCCTTCTTAAGACTTTATGGGGTATAACTGTTTTAAATAAAAATAATAAATAAATAAGATGTTGAGCCTAAGACCAAAATTACCACTTAATTGGTAAAAATTACCACTTTCTGAATTGTTCCAGGAAACAATAGGAATCTCATATATATGAATTGCAGAGTTGGAAGGGACTGTGGAGATAATCTAGTCAACCCCTTTTGTGCTTTGAAGAATCTTACTACAGCATCCCTGACAGGTGTCGTCTGGTTTCTGCTTCATTTAGTTACTCTTTTTTGTACTTTTTTCCAACTCTGCAATATCAGTATTCTAAATGTTGTCACACTGCAGATTGGCATAAGGGCAATATGATATTGGCAGTTTTATTTTCAATACCTTTCCTAAGTATGCCTTATAATGGAGTTTGTCTTTTTCACAGCAGTGGCACACTGGTTTGACATTTTAACTGAGTTGTCCACCACAACCATAAAATAATTTTCTTGGACATATACCAAAAGCTTAGCTCCCATCAGCTTATACTTGAAGCTGGGATTTTTTTGGCCCCATGGGTATCACTTGCTTACCGTGAATCACACTGGCCATTTTATTCCCATTTCCCCAATTTGGAGAGATCCTTTTGAAGTTCCTCTCAAATCTATTTTTCAAATCTATTTTGTTTTAACTACCCCAAATAATTTGGTGCTATCAACACACTTGGCATCATAAGCAAATTTGGCCACCTTAGTGCTAACTCCAAATTCCAGATCATCCAGATAAGTTGAAAAGCATTGGTTCCAGTGTTGATCCCTGTAGAACCTCAATATTTACAACCCTTCATTGAGAGAATTTACCATTTATTTTTACTCTGATTCCTGTTCTTTAACCAGATACTGATCCATATCCATAAGAGAACATCCCTAGTCTATGACTGCTAAGATTGCAGAGGAGTCTTTGGTGAAGGGACTCTGTCAAAACCCTTTGAAGGTCCAAGTAAACAATGTCTACTGGATCACCTCCATCCACATGTTTTTCAGCATTCTCAAAGAATTCTAAAAAGTAATGAAGCAGGACTGATCATTAACCATAATAGAAACCATGCTGATTCCTTTTCATTTTGGTTTTTCCTTTTACACACTTACTAATTTTATTTTTAATAACGTTTTCAAGACTCTCCTCTACACTTTCATCCATAATAATAAATGTTGAACAGCAGAGGGCCTAGGACTGAGCCCTACACCACTGCTTTGAGAATTCTTTGCAGGTTGACACAGCAATTAAGACAGATTCACAGTTGGTTGAGTGTTTTTTAACTGTTGTAGCATTCTATCATTTTGTTAGGAAGGCTGTAATAAGAACCCTTATCAAATGCCTTGCTGAAATCAAGGTATACCATATCCACAGTGATCTTGTGATCTTCCAGACTAGTAACTTATTCCCCCCTCCAAAAAAAAAAAAAAAAAGATTATTGGTTGGCAGGACATAATTTTGATAAACCTGCATATGTGTCAAGTAACCAATACATAATTTGGTTGGTCACAGGCTGACCACTTAATCTGTTTTAAACACTTGCCTGATATTCACATCAGGCCGAGTCATGTATAGTTTTCTAGATCTGCCTTATGGACAATTGGGACAATATTTACTTGTCTCACATTTTCCAGTGCCTCACTGGTTGTCCAAGTTTTCTCTAAGATTACAACCAGTGACTCTGAAATAATGTTTGTAATTTGTTTAAAGCAGGAGTGAGAAACCTCAGGTCTGGGGAGCCAAACCAAGCTGCCTTGAGGGGTCTCAAACTAGCCCTTTGAGATAACACCCATTTTTTCCACTGTTTAGCCTCAAAGTGATTAAAAATTGTATTCAGATCTCCCTCTCTCCCTCCCCCCTGTGTGTGTGTGTGTGTGTGTGTGTGTGTGTGTGAGAGAGAGAGAGAGAGAGAGAGAGAGAGAGAGAGAGAGAGAGGGGGGGGGGAGAAGGGGGGAGGGGCAAGCAGGCAGACTTCTCACTAGGTAGAGATGGTGGAAGGCACCAGTCATTTCCTCATCTTGAGGTTCCAGAGAGCTTTAGATCTATGACGAATTATGATGGGAACTATGAGGAGGGCACTTACCCATGTGGCCTCAAAATCTGCCTCATGTAGCAGATAGTGAGATGTGTGCAGGTTTTTAGGGGTGAGGAGGGAATGATAAAATCACATCACATGAGCAGAGATTGCAACTTTCATGCAACATTGGGACCGAATCTTATACTCATTCTGCACATGTGTGTTTCTGGAATGTGTCAGGTTGGTGGAACTCACAGAAAGGAACTCCACTGACCTTCTCACCTCTGGAAGTGGACAGTGCTACTTCTTTCCATGCTTATTTCAGGAACCACTAGTGCAACCCTAAGAGGCATAGCAGCAGTGGAGGATGCTGCCCCAAAATTCTGCTTTTGATTTCCACCTTGCCAACATTTCAGCCTTGTTTGTATCCAGCATGCTTCCATGGAATATACACGCTGTCAGCAAGCCCTAGTTAATGTAAAATTGGAAAGCAGACAGGACACACTACAAGGGAAGCCATAGGTAAAGGGCCAGCTGGCCAGAGATGAGCAGAACCAGTTGAGCAGTTCTGCAACTTCCCACACATTCTTTGCAGTCACATCACCAATAGTTCATGGTCAGTGGTATTTTTGTGCTTTGTTTATGGTTTCTGTGAGCATGTAAACTGGGGCAGGGCTGCTCCGAGTTGCTCATCCTCTTCCCCCAGGCATTCACACAAATATTTGCAGAGAGGAAGCCTCATGTATGCTGTATGTCCGCATCTCTGTGTGAGCTTTAGTCTTGGCCTGTGTAGGCATCTCTGTATGTAGAACTCTTATAGCCTCCATGCTGACTGAGGCTGGTAGGACTTGAAGCCCAAAACCAGAGGGACTAAAATCTACAGGCATAAATACAGTTTGCACTGGATTGTGGACATTACTTTTGCTGTATTAAAACCTTATGTTGGATAATAAGGCTACATAAATATATTGATAATATGTTTGCACAAAAATAGTTAAATATTGCTTTTTCCTTTTTCCATATTAGTGACTGTTCTATGAGTTTTTCAAGGATAATGGATTCCATGCTACAGGAGACTGATGTATTTGGTGAGGAAGGTTCAGGTAATTTTTTTAAAATTTTTTAAACTGAATTTATTATTATGGATACTATTAAAACAAACTTCTATTGGGCTTTCACAATAGGAATTCTGTGTATTCCAAGGCTGTTGCTCAGTTTAAGGCAATCTGAGCCAATTAATCACATACATTTGAATAAATCATTGGACAAATGTGTGTGTGTGTGTGTGTGTGTGTATTTTAAATGATAAGGAAATAGGCACTTTTTCTCAGTTTGTAGATGATATATGTTTGTGTCTGTGCAGGATGCAGTACCTTGCAATGCGCATTTCTACCTGTTTGTTAAAGAAGGGGGAATATCTCTTTCTGAGGTTGTGCTTCCCATCTGTAAGAATCTTAAACTAAACAGTTTAGTTCCCCAAATCACTGAGTTCTGGTTGTCTTTAACTGAGCAAATGATATTTCTCAAATTATGGCAAAAGTTTAGAATACCTGTTCCCAAATTCATAATATTTCTGTTTTAGGTATTAAAGTGATATTGAGATATTATTTACTTTCAGAGTTTTGAGTACTGTTCTTTAAGAGATGATAGATTTTTATGCCCCCCCAGTTTTTAAACGTTTCCTTTCTAAAAGTTTTACTTCTGACAGAAGTATGTCTTGTTGTTGTGAAATTTTCTGAATAGTTGCTGATTCCCTTATACATGTGCCCCTTATTACAGATTTCATAGCATCCCACATTATTGCATATGGTTGTTTTGTTTCCTCATTTGTATAAAAATAATTCTCTATTTCACTTTTTCTGTTCTCAGCAAATCATGGGTTTTGTAATAAAATAGGGTTAAATTGCAATGTATAAGTAGCAGATCAATCCTAACTAAAATTTATAGTTATACCTGAGTGATCTGATCACATTCTTTGATAAATATCTGTGCTTAAGACAGAGGAAATGTGGGTTGAAGAAATTAATAAATAATCAATTCTAGTATACATTTGATACCCAGAGGCAAAATATGCATAATTCCAAACTCTGATATTTACAAACTGCCCAGAATCAGTGAATCTAAATTTCGCTGAAAGATCACCAAAAGATGGTAGTCCTGAATTTATCCTGCAGACAGTTTCTAGCCAGAATTGAATTATTTATTATGTTAATATCCCCTTATTGAAGTGTCTCTAGTTTTTGTAAAGTATCATACAGGAAACTATATTGACTTGAGTTTGATCAATACAAAGTAGCATATGTATAACATGATCCTCTTATGGGTCATATCAAGTTCAATCAACGTGATTTATAGATGGTATTTCACACCAGTGATGCTTGCAAGAATTACTAAAAGTAACTCTCCATTATGTTGAATGGGGTGTGGAGCCTTAGGTACATTGGTGGACATGCCTCTTGCCCAGTGCTTCTGGGGAGAGATTGAAAATAAAATTAATAAAATCACTAAACAATCAAGGTTCAGGTTATGCTCTACCTAACTTCACTAATGAAATATTCAATACTGAATATTTGCAGAAAGAGCTGGTTTATTTTCTGTTGTTAGCTGCTAGACAAGTTTTTGCCCAAAGTTAGAAAGGTGATAGTATTGAGTGCTTGGTATGGAATTTGGCTTTGCTGGAGAAACTGATGAAGCAAGTTAGGTATCTAAAGGACCATATAGATATTGACACATTTGAGCATAACTGGGTTCCTTTTATCAACTTTATTGATTAAGGAGGAGATGGAATTCACTCTGCCCAGCAACACATGGGAAGCGATTGGCAAATTTCCTTTGCTCCAGGAGCTTTGGACAATAGACTTTGGCTTACCATTATTGTAAGCCATCCCGAGTTGTTCTGTAGGGGATGGGATAGAAGATGATGATGATGATACAAATCTCCAAGAGTTTTTCTCTTTGAAATTTGATGTGTGATGGGTTTTATCAGCTTTTTTAACAGGTCCAGTTTGTATTTTAATTGTTCTAGATGTATAAGCTGTTTTAAATTTTGTATTTTGAATCTTGTATTGTATTTTATTCTATCTGTATTTTATCATCCCCATTAAAAACTCTCAGAAAATATTTTAATCAGTCAACTGATTACACAGAGACGAGTCCAACTGAAGAGACAGAATTCCAGTCTAAACATTGCAGGCCTAGCATATTTTTAAAAATGTTTTTCTGCCTGTTTTCTTATGTCAAGACAAATAAGGACCAAGTATCTGCTCCTGCTGAAGGGAATTTATTAAGAGTAAATTCAGACATGCCATAAGTACATGCAATTCAAACGATTTTAGAATTACCTGATATCTGATTTTAAATGTATTACTTAAGGCCAGAATTATATGCATTGTTTTAATTATGAGTTGGAATGATCAACTTAGCAAAATTGGGGTAATTTCTTTTTATTTCTGGTTCATGCCTTCACACTTGCTTCTTCTGAGAAAGTTGCACCTTTTAAAAATAATAAGTCTGTGGAATTACCCATACCTGATTTTGATTCTATCTGAGTATCTTAACAGGTTCGTTACAGTTATTGTTACTGGGATGTGACAGCAACAGTAGAATAAACTTTATTGCAGTTTTTTTAAAGCACACCACATCTTAGAGTCTCACAATATATTTGCACAGGTAATGATGATATTTATCAAATTTAGATTAGCATTCAGAACATTGGTTGAAGTGACAACTGGGAGAAACTGGCCTCTTTTCTTGTTATCTGTCATCTATCTGTTTGTCAATCAAATGTTTGTTCTGTATTCACTCTCTGAAAAGCTTTTCCTAAAAATTATCATAACTCTTTATGTAACATTTATTTAGGAAAGAAGAAGTCTAAGTTTAAATCTATTAAAAAGTTTTTTGGGAAAAGAAAAAGGAAAGAGACATCATCATCTTCAGAAAATTGTAGTCTGAAAACGTGCCAGTCCACAAGTGATGTCACAGCCTCACAGTCCGTGCATATGGATTACGATTCTGAAGATGAACTTGAGTAAGTTTCCAAACTGTCTTTTGCTTGTTTAGAAAACAATTTTTTCCTTTTTGAAAGCCAGCTTATTCTTCATGGATTAAATATCCAAGGGATTCTTCATCACATGCTTTAACATTTAACTTCTTTGAGAATCTAGGAAAAGCCACAAGTAAATTTTACGATGCAAAGACAGTGTTTCGGACCTAGAAATGTCTTGCATTAATTCCCCCAAGATATTCCCTTGCAATGCTGGTGAAGACTATATTGCACAATGCTGCCACTAAGGGGCGCCAAACTACAATATAGAAGCAACAACCCAACAAAGTGCCTCCAACTTCTTCAGGTGTCACTGGCTTATACATAGAAAACCTGATGTGAAACACCAATACTGAAGACTTCACACACTATAATTAGAGTATTATAGTGTCAATTAAAGCAACATTCAAAATGAATTTGTGTTTTTGTCCTTCATTAGAAGACTTAAAGGAAGCCAAAGATTTTAAGGATTGTGAGCCATCCTGAGATGCCATGCATAAGGGATGGCATACAAAAGTTTTAAATAAATAAAGTTTTAAATTAACTCAGCGGAAGAGTTTTGATGAAAGTAGCAAAATGGTTAAGGGGCCCCTCATCATTACTATATTTTGCCTGAAGTGAAATTTAAAACAAATGTAGAAGCTTCACCTTGGCCAAAAGACTTTTCATAAGCCAAGCAAAACATTTCAAGATGCCTTTACACTTCCCACATTGGTACTTCTCATTGCATTTCTGAGAACACTTTCTTAGTTTGGTTAAACAGCTCTTGAATGGCTCCAAGAAGACTGAACTGACAGCATCCCTCTACTTCCTTCTACCACACACCTTTAAAGTTTCTTTTTCCATATTTCTTTATTGAGCAGATTTATAACAGCTGTTGTGAGAATACCATTGCTCTCATTCATGTTTATATTTTTCTTGTATTCATTTCAGTAACATCTTCATTTAATGGAGCAGTTTATCAAATACATTAGCAGGTTTTGATTCTGAGAAATTAAATTTGAGAAATCCAATATAGAACATATTGGATTTCTTACTTATACCATTAGCAGTGAGCTATCTTAGGTATTATCTGGGGAAGTACCGTGACATGATTACAAAGCACTGTAGCATAGCTAATCAGTACCTAGTTCTTCTATATGTTTGTTGTAGAGAATATACAATTATCCTGCAACATATGCAATAGCCAGGAGAAAGATAGTTGGCATATTTGTGGCACCTAAAATTATAATCTGGGCAGACTGATATATGGGGCCCCATGAGGGAAAAAGAAGCAGCAACATGAAGTCAGGGCAGAAAGAACAACAACAGAAAGTCCTCAATAAAAAGCTTGCCTGGGGAAAGTAATGGTATGGAGAGGAGTAAGTGGTGGCAGCTCTTAAGCAGGGACAGCTTCAATGGTTTGACTATGTGGGGTTTAAGATGGCAGACTCTAGCTCTGGGCCAGTCAAGATGTTGCCTGGAACAATTGCAGCCCATGAGTGGAACTGTGCACCTTAGAATCTCATGCAGTCCTGGAAAATGTGTTGGGAAGTCTTGGTTTGACTATTGTTGTGTGGGTATCTGATGTGATTATACCCAGAGTTATTCCCCAGCATTTTCTCTGGGGCTGCAAAGCATTCACACTTCCTGATTTGTCCACTGCATCCTCATTGTTTTCACTCCTGCTATTTAAAAGTGATTGTTATCCCTTCCAATATGGATACTCCTACAGCTGGGCAGCCTTTCTCAGCCATTCCTCCATCTGTTATCCTCTCAGTCAAGTCAGCATTTGAAGCCCAGCTTCATTATTTGGAAAATAAAATCTTAAGTGTTTAAGAAGACTGGATTTTTATTAGCTTCCTTTGTTTTCTTAGGATGCACGGAAGTGTTATGGGAAGCAGAGCTTTGTCTCATGATAGCATTTTCATTCCTGAGGCAGCACAAGAACCTGTTATGCCAGTCCGAGTATTTTCTCAGGAAAATGTTTCTGATCGGATTAGGGCTTTGCAGGTAAAACTAATGTGTGCAGTGGTGCTAATAATGTTTTATTATCATGTATGGATTCAGAATGTTTTCTTTTTCCTGCCTGTTTGTAACATAAAGGTGGCTTTAATTTGCAACATTTTAAACAACTATCACAGTTATTTCTCAGTATGGTTATTTTAATATTGTGAAGCCAGCAGTCACCAGAGGAAACCTAAATACCAAAGTAGACTTGGCTCATCAAGCTGCATCTTACTGTGTGGAGTTAAAATCAAAAAGTACCTTAGGTGTGGCTTAGTAAAGACTTGTCCAAGCAATGCATGCTTTCCCTGCAAGCACTCCTTACCTTCTCTACCTGCTCATTCATATGGCAAAATAATGAATAATGACAAAATCCACAGCAGTTCAGCTTGTGTTGTCTGTCACTAAGTCCCCTAAACTCATGATTATCAGAGATAACCTTCATGCTCAGGTTTCAGGATCAAGAGTCATTTATCTGTATTCCTGATAACCTTGATAACAGAGCAACCAACAGCTACATACTACATGGGTAAATAAGCAAAGTATCAAATGTCACTCTGTCTGGACATGGTCAAATTGCATTATAAGAAGTGAATTATCAAATGTCACCTCTGGATGGAAAAATACATTTTAAAATACATTTTATAGTGACTTTCAAAAATTATAGCAAAACCTAAGCAAGGCTAATAAAGAAAATATTAAAAAAGAAAAAATAGTTTAGATTGCCTAAAAGGTCAGGTATATCAGTTGCAATTAATACATATGGAGTTTATATGTCTGTGTATTATATGTATATATGGAATTTAGAAGTAGTCATTAGAAGTAGTTTGTACAAGTTTCAACAAAGGCAAGCCAAATATCCCTTTATCTACTTGTTCAGAGATAGCATCTAAACGATTCCCATTCAAAGGCTGAATGAGTCAATAGACCCTCTATCCATTGTGTTATTGGAGATGGCTGTTTATCTTTCCATTGCTGTAACATTAGTTGTTTAGCTGTTATAAAAGCACATAAAATCCATTTACGTTGACTTTAACATTAGAGTCCACTAAACAAGATAGGAAGCAGAACATGTACATCTGTAAATATTGAAGAATTTTCCAATACCAAATTCACCTGCATTACACCTCCTCCCAAAAGGAGGCAGCTGTTGGGCACTGCCAGAACATATGGGTGAAGGAAACTTCAGTTGTAATCACACTTCCGACAGTTAGCCAACCTAGTCAAGCCTTTATTGTAAAGGCGTTGTTGTTGGCTGGGTGAAATAGGGCGATTCATTAAGTGTAATTCATTATGATTGAAACTCAACATTAAGAAAACTAAGATCATGGCATCTGGTCCTATCACTTCCTGGCAAATAGATGGGGAAGAAATGGAGATAGTGACAGATTTTATTTTTATGGGCTCCAAGTTCACCACAGATGGTGCCTGCAGCCAAGAAATTAAAGGACGCTTCCTCCTTAGGAGGAAAGCTATAGCAAATCTAGACGGCATGCTAAAAAACAGAGACATCACCCTGCCGACAAAAGTGTGTATAGTCAAGGCTATGGTTTTCCCAGTTGCAATGTATGGCTGTGAAAGTTGGACCATAAGGAAGGCTGAGTGCCAAAGGATTGAAGCCTTTGAGTTGTGGTGCTGGAGGAGACTCCTGCGAATCCCTTGGACTGCAAGGAGATCAAACCAGTCAGTCTTAGAGGAGATCAACCCTGACTGCTCTTTAGAAGGCCAGATACTGAAGATAAAACTCAAATACTTTGGCCACCTAATGAGAAGGAAGGATTCACTGGAGAAGAGCCTAATGCCAGAAACAATAGATGGCAAAAGAAGAAGAGGACGGCAGAGGATGAGGTGGCTAGATGGAGTCACTGAAGCAGTTGGTGTGAGCTTAAGTGGACTCTGGGGAATGGTGGAGGACAGGAAGGCCTGGAGAAATATTGTCCATGGGTTTGTGATGGCTCGCACGTGACTTTGGACTAGCAACAACAAAAAGCAATAATTCATTACTCTGGTTCATTACTCTATTTTTCTTATTTATTCACTAACAATAAGTATTTATACAACAATAGGTCAATACATCTGAAGCCATTCTAAAAACAGAGGAGTCTCTGAAGCAGGGAAAGGTGCAAACCTAGATTTTTACAGATGTTTCACCTGGACATATTGCCATTGCAGGCAAATCACATTTAGCCCAAAAGTATGACAATTGACAGAAAGTTTGTCATCAGCTCCAATTTAATCCGGTGCAAAAAATCTGCTTAAGGATTTGTGTCTGCCATATGAATGTTTCCTTGCCCATTTTTAGTTCTGGGATTCCCCAAAAGGTTAACCTGGAATGGGAAAATGAATCAAACTGTAATTGATGTGCTAATGTAGGCCACAACTCTCTTATTGCTGAAACTGCAGGAGGTATCCTATCTATGTTCATCTACTGAGAGCCAAGTAAAGTCCACTTGGGGACGTTCAGACCTTAGGATTTCAAAAAACCCCAAGGGGAAATGTAATCCAGCTGTAGAATTTAGTGCAAATTAGAAGAAAAGTCTAATGATACAGGCCAGTATCAGGGAAACCAAATCCATCCCCTTTAAGCAAGAGTTGCATTTTGATGACTGGTACTGCTGTTAGCTTTATGTGCTGGCTTATTTTTCCATGTAAGCAAATAGCTAAGCACTTGTTCATGTAGACAGAAATAAAATATGTTGCATAATCCATCTTATCAGCAACAGGGAACATTTATTAAAGCATATTTGAAATTTGTTACTGTAGCTGAAGCTCCAACAGAATTGGAAATTAAGTCCCTTATCTCCATGTGGAACACCTTCAAAGAAAATGGATGATGCTGGGATGAGTTCGGAAGATGATGGGTTACCCAGAAGCCCACCAGAAACGTCTTTGCTGCAGGAAATTCTAACTTCTAGCACACCAAAGGTAGGATAAATCAGTGTGCCTTTTCAGAATACATGGTAGTATACTGGCAGTTCACCAGCAGTTGAGAAATTACAGTAGCAGGAATGACCAATAATGCAACAAGAAGGTAGTGCTCACTAGTGCAACCCAGGGCATGAACCGAAACTGCCATAAATAGAATGGAGAAAATATCAGTAAATGTCCCTTGCGTGAACTTCACTGACTTCTCCTACTCTGAAAGTTTCAGCTGTTTTTCAGTTTCACTAGCCTTGTATTATACAAGTGGTCATTTCCACTAGTGCAACAACATTGAATATTGTCCATAATTTTGAATGCAAAGAACAGTAATTTGTTTATTGTGTTTGCCAGTTGAAAGCAGTTTCCAGTGATTGCCACTTCGTAATAAATTACACAGAATAAAGGTAGCAATGGTTGTAATGTAGATGGATAGCCAAGTGCTTGGAAGGAAGAAATGAGGCCCTGCATTGTAAAGGGCAAGTTATTTTGAAAATCGCACAGATAGAGAATTTTCTGGTTCTTACAAAAATGTCTATGACACTTATCAAATCATTTCAGGATAGCATCACTTACTGAAGCCTATTCTTCAGGAATCAATTTACCCTTCTTTATGGACTGCTTTAAATAGGAACACATGAAAATTTAATCAGCTTCCTTAAAAGAAAAAAAATTCTCCTCCTCTTTATGTTTTCAGAGGTCATACTAACTTGTAGAACTCCATAGAGATTCATGTTTGTAAATTATGTTTCCTGTAACTTGTGTGATATTTTTTATAGAATGTAGCCTTTGTGTGTATCTCATCTCATTTTGTCATCTACCACTGAACCTTTTCCTCATTCCACCCCACAGTTTTCTGACTCTCACAAGCATCTTAGTTCTTTGAGTTTAGCTGGAACAAGCAGCGAAGAAGAAGAACAGGTAATTTTAATCACATCTATGTATGATATGGCAGGAAATAATGGGTATCAGATGTCCCATTTATTTCACTCTATGCATGATCCAACCCAAGAATCGAATAGCTCCTCAGGGCCATGCAGAACTTGGGGCTGGATCATTCCTCATTATTAATGAACACCATTCTGTTTAGTCTCCAGGAAGAAATTAAATGGATATAAATTTGACCGGACTTTGCTTTTTAGTGCAAAAATAAACCAATGCAGTAAAAGGCTTAAACTCAACACTTTTAAAGTTGTGACAAAACATACCATATGTGGCAGGAACGTGCTCTTAAAATAAAATAAAATAAAATAAAATAAAATAAAATATGAGACCTACTAGATTTTATATTCATCTGTTTGAAAACCTTGGGGTTCATCTGATCATACTGATTACATATCCCTCTTCATCATGTGTGGTTCCATTTGGGTACTGAAGGATAGAGAATGGCTTCAGTATTTCGTTTGTGTGTGAATTACAGCATATTCGGAAGGCAATTGAAACACCCATCTTGCTGAAGTGCAGCAGTTTTGGCACTGGTTGATGCCTAGGTGGGTCATGGAAACCCCATGTGTGCTGTCTTGAATTCCCTGGAAAAAAGGCAGTATATACATGGATTTTGGGTTTTTGTTTTAATGGAGATATAGTGATCAGAAGCAATGGCAATGGCAGTGGGAACAGCAGCTGGCCTTCAATATTTAGAATAAAAAATTCAACTTTCTTTGTTATTTGTTGAGTGAAATAAAGTTATGTACTGTGTTATAGTCCCAAGGGTTTTAGCAACTTAACTTCATAAACACAGTACTTTATTTGCCTCTACATTGTGTTTCCCTATGCTGGGGGTTAATCTTAATCTTTTTTAAAATATGTATTTTAGATCATTTACTTGGAAGTATGTTTTGGTTCACATTCACATAGATCAAGAAACACATACTTATTTGAAGTACATTCTGACAGTTTTGTACATATAGCAAAGTACATGCCTTCTTTCCCAACATGGAAATCAATTCAGAATGAGGGAAAAGATTGTGTGCATCAAACACTGTGATGAATGGAGAATTTTATTGGCAATATGTTGACAGAACCTCAGGCCTGAGGACCAAAGCAGTCCCTCCTGGGGCCCCAGTCTGGCCCTCCTGGGGTTCCTCAGGAGGCCATGGCTTTTTCTCTTGGTCCTTTTTCCTTTACCACTGGTTTTTGGTGGTATCCCAACCTTTTTGTTGTCCTTTCTCCATTCACAAAGGATAGAATCTTTCTCTTTTGGCTTAGTTACTGGCAGTAAAAGTATTTAGGTTAAAAAAATGGTATTTTTGTCCCCAAACTTTTTGCCTTTGGTTCCACCTGTCTCCACAATGTGTCTTGTGAGGGCTTCTCTGAAGTAGCATCTGGCCTTCAGGCTGAAAGAGGTCCAGCGTACCTAATTTAGGAAGAATGTCTCGATAAACCAGCTGGTGCGGAGTATGAGTGCAGTACAGCTATTTCACACTTGCTCTGCTTGTGCACTTCCCACAGACAGCTGGTTGGCCATTGTCTGAACATCCTTGACTATTGGACAAGATGGATTCTTGTTTTCATTCATTGTGGCTTTTCTTATATTACATTAGTTCCAGTACTAGCAAGTTAGATATTTAACATTCCTGAGAAATGTCCAAATGTTAATTAATTATTAAAACTCCAGCTGTTTCCTACTGACACAGTTTTTTGATTTCCTGTTTAGCTCACCAACAGTCCTTTGAGATCCTGCTCTACAGAAAGCCAGCTATTTCCCAGACAGTCAAGCACTAAAATTATAGTTCAGCGAACATCTAACTGCAGTCTCTCACCTCCTGCTGATTTTGATACTCCACCTGAGTTCTCTTCTTGCTTGGATAATTCAGCTGCTAAGCACAAGCTTTTAGTGAAACCAAGGAACCAGAGGTCTAGCAGAGCAAGAAGACAATTTCTGGTAACTGATTCCACCCAAAAGAGAAAGAAACGTTGAAAAAACAAATATTCCCTGTTCCTTTTGCTGTTCTAATTCCATTTTTAATTGCATTATTTCTTGTGATCCTGGATAGATATGTTTACTGCTTTCTAAGCACCTTTGCTTAATGAAAACAGCTCCACTTGGGGGAAAGTCTTTCCTTGTAGAATAAACTCCTTACTACAAATACATCCCCTCCTAAGCGCCCTCTCCCACCGGGCAGAGCCCGCTCTTCCCCTTGGTATACCCCTGAATTGAGGGCGATGAAGCAGGTTGGGAGACGGCTAGAGCGTAGGTGGAGGAAATCACGTGATGAATTTGACCGAACACACTTGAGAGCCCACTATCGGGCCTATCCACCCTCAAAGGCCCGCTGTGACGACTTTGCCAGGCATTTCAGGGAGAAAATCGCTCAGATTCGTCACGAGCTGGATTCCACTATTGATACAGAGGTTTTAAGGGAGACGCCAATGCCGCCGTCTGGTCCAGAATTATTGGATGAATTTCAGTTATTGCGGCCCGATGATGTGGACAAGGTGCTTGGACGAGTACGTCCCACCACTTGCCTATTGGACCCTTGCCCGTCTTGGTTAATAAATAATTAATTAAAATAATTCCAAGCACGGGATTGGGACCTGGATTTTGGAAGTGATTAATGCTTCTCTGAGGGAGGGTCGGGTGCCTGCCCCTTTAAAGGAGGCGGTAGTCCGACCGGTCCTGAAGAAGGCGTCACTGGATCCAGAGATGGCCACTAATTATAGACCTGTGGCCAACATCCCGTTTCTGGGCAAGATGTTAGAGCGAGTGGTGGCGGGACAACTCCAAGCACTCTTGGATGAAACTGATTATCTGGACCCATTTCAGTCCGGCTTCAGACCCGGGTACGGTACTGAATCTGCCTTGGTCGCCCTGTACAATGACCTGTGCAGGGAGAAAGACAGGGGGAGTGCGTCCCTTTTGGTTCTCCTGGACCTCTCAGCGGCTTTCGATACCATCGACCATGGTATCCTTCTGGACAGGCTTGCGGGATTGGGGGTCGGAGGCATTGCTTTGCAGTGGTTCCGCTCCTATCTCGATGGCCGGTTCCAAAAGGTGGTGCTGGGGGACTATGGCTCTGCGCCATGGCAGTTATGCCATGGAGTACCGCAGGGGTCCATTTTGTCCCCCTTGCTGTTCAACATTTACATGAAACCGCTGGGAGAGGTCATCAGGAG